GATGGCCACTTGATGTCACTCTCCACAAACGAAAACTCATACGTAAATGCCAGAGGCTCATTCTCCTTAATAGCCATCGCCACAGTGGTGGGATCACACTTGATCGCAGATGGATATGTATTATACATTTTCAAATTCTTCAATGACTCAGCAGTGTGTTGAATACTACAAGGGACCACCTCAAACCCAACAACCATGTATCCAGGCTTTTCTGATCCCGACTTCCCAACCATAGGGATCACCTCGGCCCCATCTCCAGTACCCATCACACGAGCCGCATTTGTATCCTCATACTTATGAACAAGAACATTAAATTTCAAGTGATTAAACAGATAATACACATCTTGAACCTTAATTCCCACAGGATACCCCGTCCACCGCAAGAAAAAACCCTCCTTCCTAGTATACCGAATGGCGGGTAAATTATCAAGAATCAAATTAACCTGATACATTTCATCAATCCTCTTTTTCAATACCTTAAACTCTTCACCGGACAATGGCTTTGTTTGACAGAGAAAGATCTCCGTCTCATTGGTGTACATCTTAAATCTATATGGCGAATTCTGAATCCTATCACCCATAAGGAGCTGACCGAGGTTTTTGGTACTGTCCTTTACCCCCTCTCGGGGCAGGCAAAAGGGTAAGCTATAGTAGCTAAAGGGAATTTCAGTATCAATTGAAGTGAGTGAATTCACTTTCACAGACAAGAAATCACCAATATCATATATGTAAGGGTAGCTACCAGGAAGGTAAAATCCATGACCCAATTGATTTATCAAGCACATAAACAAAACCCAGACCTTGAGTTTATCAAATAAGTCCATTTGGATCATTTTCTTGGTTATTTTGTATCTCATCTAGAAGAGTAGATCAGAAAATCGGTGTCAAAGCAAGATCAGAACAATTTCAATCCGGGTTTTGAGTTCAAGCAGAGATCTGAGGATGAAACCTGAATAATTTCCACGGAATTGTGCAGGTATGATCAGATGAGATTATATAGTCTAAGTAATATGAAAGCAAAAAAAATCAAGATAAAACGATAACTATAGAGAATTAAAAAGTGTGTGCGTGAAGATATAGTAACAAGGTGCAGATCTAACTGACCTTCAGAGTGATTGATTCGTTCACAACCGACAGAAGAACTGCTGTCTATATTAGAATTGCGCAGAAATACAGATCATGCTTCGTAGAGCACCGTGAGTGCAGAGAGACGGACAGAGTGATTTGTTGGTCCAATTGTCCAATTACATACGGTTTGGTCCAAAGGTTTATTGAACCAACCGAATTGTTTCCCTCTCCAAAACGGTTGAAAAAATGGCCACAAGGCCTTGGCCTTTTGTGGCCTGAAATTCAACTGGCAAAGAAGTCATGATATATGAGAACAAAGTCAATGTTACACAGGGTAGTCTCTTTCCTCTCTGTCTCTTCCTCTCAAGTCTTTCAAAAATCTCACGGACGCTCTCCTCTCCGCTCTTGTCGCCCACATCCACTACCACTACCACTACCACTATTGGCCTTTATCTCTCCCTCTCTTTGTTTTGTCTTGCTTTCACACGCACAAGTATTCACAGCATACACACCCCAACACAACCACGCGCACAAGTTTAGAGTCATCTTAGAGGTGACTTTGACCCTTCCTTCTTCTTCAAAGTCTGAGTTTTGTGTTGGGTCATGCTCCGATTCGAATGTGAGGGGTCATTGTCGGATTCAACTATGAGGTGGTTTTTGATTTTAATGAATTTTGACTTGGGTTATGGTTGATTTAAGGGAAAATTTCAGTCACGCATTTTCTAGTTTCATATCTTTGAGGAAAATTCATCTATTATCTGACATTTTTTTTTCTAATTTATATTTAAATATCGCTGTCTACCATTAAACCGCCATTTATAAAAAAAATAAATTATCTAAAATATTAAAATTATCTACATAAATCCCAAATAATTTTTATACAAAAAATTCGGACTGATTAAATTTTTTTTTCTAAATACTAAAATTTGAGTCGATTAAAATTTGATACGTTGATTAAATTTTATTTTTGTTCGTACTAAAATTCGAGCCTATTAAAAGTCTTTTTTTACATATTAAAATTTTAGTCAATTTGAGATATACTTGAGTTATTAGCTCCAATTAAAATTCACTTCGAATCGATTAAAATTTATATTTTTTTATTTATTAAAATTTGATTCAAGTTGATTAAAATTTATTTTTTATATATTAAAATTTGAGTTAATTAAAATTTATATTGTTTTTATATATCAAAATTTGGATCGATTAAAATTTAATTTGAATTGATTAAAATTTGATTTCAGTCTCGAATAAATTCCAATAAGGTCAAATTTTAATACGTAAAAAAATATAATTTTTAATCAACTAAACTTTTAATAGATAAAAAAAAATTAATTAGCTCAAATCGAATTTTAATCGGTCTAAATTTTAATCCATAAAAAATTTTAAAAATAGAAGGATCTTATTGAAGATATGCCTATCTAAAGGGCATGTGGATGAAATTTTTCTTAAAATATATCATGAGCAATATAGTAGAATTCCATTCTAATTAACATCTTTAATCTGACAAGGATGACAATAAATATTTAAAAAATAGAAAGGGTGTCTTTGAAGATATAATAAATTAGAAGAGGTATGACTAAAATTTTTCTTGATTTAATTTTTTTGTGTTGATTCATTCGATAGTTTTTTGAGTTAGTTTTTGCTATAAATTTTTTGGCTAACTTTTGGGGTTGCTTTGGAGCCATCCGAACCAATCCCAAAATTGTAAATGACTTCTAAAAAGTTATAATTTGAATTATAAAAGTTAAAAAATGATCCCAAAAGTTATAAATTTTTTGTCGTAAATAAACTCAAATACTTGTAAAATTTGAAAATTTTCGATATTGTAGTATTCTCTCTTAATTAGATATGTTTACTTATGGTTGTTGGTTGAAGGGAGAATTTGTTATAACTTACCACATTACTAGCAATAACTAATATATGAAGGTACGATATAACGTAAAGTTTGAGCATCAAAAAAATTAATTCACTATGTCAAACAACAATTTTTATTTCATTCCCACTATTTTTTAAAAAAATTATTAAAAATTAAATTATTCAATAGTGATATAAATGAGCAAAAAAATTATGTGAAGATAAAATTTAAAATGCTAGATAGAATTGTGATTGACTCATGCCTAAAAATACCATGTAACAAAATCAAAAGACAATATTGATCCCTAAATTTTGTTCCTGTCTACAAAGTAATTTAAATAATAAATATCTTATGTAATTACAATTTTATTTTGTAAAACTTTGAGCCAAATTGAAGTAGCATCAAGCTCACATTATAAACTATCCATTTTTTGTCTCATGTTATAAATATAAACAAAAATAAAGAACACAAAATATTTTATACAATAGAGAAACTATGGAAAAATAGATCTACACACATACAATGATAGAGAGAGAGAGAGAGAGAGAGAGAGAGAGAGAGAGAGAGAGAGAGAGAGAATCGTAGATGAAAGACATAAGATATATAATAAAAGATATAAGATATCCGAAATCACATGATTTAAGAGGTCAAAATTGTTTGGACGAAAAACTATATTTTTAAAAGTCAATTTTATATATGAGATATAAGATATCCATAGAATGAACTGCAAATGTTTACCTATTAATTTGGAATGTTCAAACAAATTTATAAGATAGAGGATTCAAAATTGTTTATACTTTATTATATACTAGCAATTGCTCGTGCCTGAAGGCATTATGTAACACAGCCAGAATAAAAAATTAAACCCACCAAAATTAGCAAACAAAAAATAAATAAATAAAAAATTATAGCACCCACAAATACTATCATAGTATCAAATTGACTATCATGTCAATATTTTCAACCATATTAAATTCTTACATAATAACTCCATACTCACAACAATGAAAATAAAACATTGCCACTTATATGGATTTACATTACAATGAAAATTAAAAGCCAAATTATAACTACCACCTCAAATTTTGCCTTGAATTGTTCAATAATTTTACTCTTGCACTTTTTTTGTCTTTGAGTCCATTACTTTTCAGTCTTGGAGGAAAACAAACAACTTGAATCATGGAAATAAGCAATAGATGAGGTGGCAATCTTGAAGGAAAATAAACTTGAATCATGGAATTGAGTAGGTGACGATAATGAAAGAGAAAATCAACTATGATAACCTCTCCTCATGGTCATCCAACCCATTCCTCAATTAGCATGAGAGTAGTGACTTCTACCGCTTAATTGATGCCCCAAAAAAATTCATTGGACTGTGAAAACAAACCATGTCTTCATAAAGATATGAGAGGAGATTCTACCAATCCACTCCTCTATTAGTTCTGCTTTCAAACAAAAATTAGGCACATAATATTAAGGATTTGATGAGATTGTGTGATGAAAAACCTGCTGCTAACTCACTTACCAAAGTTGGCGTAGACTTTCTCCATTGAGCTAGCACCAACTCAACTAATAAAACACACACAAATACATGCAAAACAAAACAACTAAGTAGAGAATTTTAGGTTAAGTAAATTGGATAGCCTTGAGAAGAATTAAAAGACAAAGACCTCAAATGAAAGAGAGATAAAAAAGATCACCAGTTCAATTGCATAAATTCACAACCAATCCAACCCATAAACTCATCATTATGAAATTCACAAACCAAATACACCCAAATTTGTAAAACAATAAAAAAATTATCATTAACATGTACATGCATAAGTTGTCAATTTATCATTAACATATGAACCATACAACTAATTAAAAATATTACATATTTTCAATAGAACAAATTGATACTTAATCATACCATTAACAAAACTGGATGGATGGGTGTGTTGTGTGTTAGCAGAGACTGGAGGTATATTTGTGTGTGCTGTGAGGGATTTTGAGTGTGACGGGTTGGAGAATAGAAAAATGTTAGGAGTTTTTGTGTATTAAGGGGTGTGAAGAGAGATGCCTTCATTGTCTTGATTTGAGTGTGGGTGTGTGTGTGTGTGGGAGGTTGGGAATAGAGAGAGGGCATACCTTTTCGCTGGTGGATTCATCTGGGGTGGATCGTTTGTCATCGGTGGTGACTCGCTTCATCGTTGCTGGTTTGGGTAGAGTGAGAAGAGATGGTGCAGAGAGATTCGAGAGGTAGAAGAGAAGAAAAGAGAAGAAAAATGGTGAGGGTTAGGGATTTAGGGGATGGGCCATGAGAGAGAGTAGTTTTAGAAATTGAGATTTGAGGCAAAATTAAGCTAGGAATTGAGGGTGAAAAATTAGAGCTAATTTCTTCTTGGAAATAAATCCTTGAGGTGATAAGTTGGAGGGCTTCAAAAGGTGGGATTTGGGGAAATGTTCACATTCAGAGATTTTTTTCGGCTTTAGATCTGATTTGAACACTTTCATGGTCAAAAATTCATAAAATTAATTATTGATAAAAATATTTTTAATGGATCAAATTATTTAAAAAACTATATTATTATTTTATTTTTATATTTATTATCATTACCATCACCACTGCTACCGCCCACTATCATCATCACCACCCACTAGCATTGGAGAGCTACACAGGGGCCCTCAAATTTTTTTAAAAAATATATTATATGTACACTTATATTTATATTTCTAAAAATTATATATATATATATATTTATTTATTTATTTGTGTCAATTGTTTAGTGTTTTTTATTGTGTTAAGGTTTTCTCTANAATCCTTACCCAAGTGAGTTATCGTGTGCGGGCCGGACTTCGGGTATGAGTAGGCTACCCGTAACCCAACCCGTGAGCCTATTGGGCGGGCCTCTGGGCAGGCTTGTTGGGCGGACCTGTTTGCGGGATTTTTTATATACATTTTTATTTAAAAATAATGAATATTTTTGTAACTTAATATTTCTGTAAATTATATTTTTGAATCAAAAGTAAAGTTAAAATGGATAAAAATAAAATAATAAATTATATCTAATAGAATGAATAAATCTCAACTAGGTTGACACCTACTAACTTATTTGTCATTTGTATTACTCTACCATTTAAAACTTATATGTTTAATACATGGAAAATAATACATTATTTATAATATCTAACTTTTTAAAACTTTAAATTTCGATATTGAGAGACGTATTTCAAAATTTCAAATTTAATGGTCTTAAAAATATAGCTTTTAAGGATATTGGGCCGGGTAATGGGTTTGAGGGCAAACTCAAGCCCTCTTTTTAAGGATATTGGCCTCAGGCTCAGGCTCAGGCTCGGGCGGGTCAATTATCGAGCCAATCGAGATTCGGACTTATTTTTTTCGGGCCGAATAACGGGACAGTAGGTAACCCGGCCCATGGACACCCCTAACCACCACCACCACTCACCACTTATGTAGGAAAAAAGGAAGATGAAGCAGGAGAGATAAAGCAAGAAAAAGGGAGAAAAACATATATTAGAAGAAGATGATGATGGAGAAAGGGGATTTGGGCTGTTGGGAAAGGGAACATCNTATTATTTATCAATTTTTACAAGTGAAAGTTCTTAAAATTGACGTTCATTTGACTTTTTTTTTTTGAGAAATCATTTCTATTCCTATTCGAGTATTGATTATAATTTTTATCATGTGTCAGTTAATTTTTAAATTTTTTTACTATGTTTAACTCTTAAATTTTAATTTAGTAACTTTACTATGTTAATATTTCAGTAATAATATTTAAAATATCGTTTATTGAATAAATTTAATAAATTATTAGTAAATAACTGATTTTTTTTATTACAAAAAAAACAATTAACTCCACTTTTTTATAATAATGATAATTAGTCATTATATATATATATATATATATATATATATATATATA